GTGCCTCCCCCTCCGCCCGGCAGCCGCCTGCCCCAGCGGGCTCAGCCTCTCTCTGCCACCACTACCAGCCTCCTAAAGGGCAGCCCCCCCTCCCTCCGTACCACCTCTTCTGGATGACTCTGCCCCATTGAGGACACAGCTACTGTGGGGTGCACTGCCTTCGCTTTACTATGGCCACAGTCCTAGGCAGGTCACTAGAAAAGGGTCAGGCACTGACAGCGTAGTAAGTACTAAAAGACAACGGATTTGTAAAACAATTTTTCTCTCTTTCATTAATAAACATCGCACATTTAACTGCTGCCTTTAGCATGCCAGCCATTCGCAAACTTAGCTCCCAGGACAGCACCTCTGAACTCTCTTTTTCTGTTGTATTTCAGTTTGTGTTTTTCCAACTGCCATGCATGTCAGTCAGTCCATCTTCTTGTCTCTCTCTCTCTCCCTCCCAGGCCAAAAGACCAGTGAGGCACCCTTCCTCTGCTTCTACAGCACCAGAAGAGGCCTACTCCTCACAGGGTTCAGCTGCACCTTTCTGGAAGGGGAGGAACAATCCCCTTTTGCTACAGACAGGCGAAACCCCCTTGCATTAGTCACAGACAAGTTTTACCTCCTTTTATTACATATCTGCCAAAACAGGAAGGGAATACCACAGGTGGTTCCTGTGTAGGTTCTTCGACAGTCTCCTGTCTAGGCTTTACCACCACTAGTGCTTCAGATGCCACTTTTCAGCGCAGGATGGGTGAAGGGACTACTACACTCTGAAGCCATCCGTCTTACTTTGAAAACCAGCATCATGAAATGCAGAGAGATGCAGAACGAGAGCACTGAAGTATTGTGAGGCTTTACTGCTTGATGTCGTACACAGAGTTGGTTATCTTTGGAAGTCCTAATCTGACCAAGGCATTTCACAATATGAACTTATAGTAGAAGAAACAAAATGAACTTAAGTATTGCAAGTGATATATTTAACACATTCACACTTTGCCAGAAAGGCAGAGCCTGCTGAAGGAAAAAGTTTAATAAGCAATTATTAAACTGCTCTCCCAGAAATAACTTCAACTACCACTGCCATCTTTTTTTTAATTAAAAAAAGGGGGGACGAACCCCCAAATTTATGACAACAAAAAAAAAAAAAAGAAAAAACCCCTCACCCTAGTCAGGCAGCTAGGTATAGACATCTTGGAAATGCAAGACAAAGAAACTAAAAGAGGTGCTAGCTCCCACAGCAACAATTTCTGAAGTATCCCCTTCTCCTTCCCATCTCTCTACAGTACTGTACTTCCTTGCTGGGAGAAGCAGAAGGCAGCTACAGTATGTGCTTCCCTGCCATAAAGAGAAGGTACTAGAGAGTAGCCCACAATAATTTCAGGAGTATACAGAGTAAAAACTCAGTATGAGGATGGATACTTCCTTTCTTGCAATCAATTTCTGCTTTCCAGTCCATCAGAAAGACATATGTTTAAAAAAAAAAAAAAGATAAGGCTGTTGCTTCCAAGAGATTGTAACTGCAAGAACAGGATTCATGTAGTTGTTGGTTGTCCTGAACATCTGCATAGCTATTTCCAAAGAGCGGCACCATGGAAAACGAGTGCCAAGCCACCAGTCCGCTCCCACAAATGGTACAGTTCCCTCCTCCCTTCCATGCCAACGTCAATTCTTACTTTTTACCCAGCCACCTTCCAACAGCTCATGTAGCAACTGCTCAGCGTCACTTAAGCACTACGCAGGAGAGAGTGCTATAGGAGATACTCCCCGAGACAAGCAAGGAATCCTGTTTTAGTTTCCACTTGTCTGATGTTTCACTGTTGACACAACATTAATTTCAAAAGAATTACGATTTGATACGCTCATTTCCCCAGTATTCTCAATTTTTAACTGATCTTGATGCAATATAGATAGCATGTCTCTTAGTTCTTATTTTGTCAAAAATGAGACGATTTTAGATACTGAAATTTATCTAACATTTAACTCTGGCTACTCATCAGTGTCTTATCAGACTTCTCTCAAATCAAGGCATTTAACTGAATGTATTTATGAACAAAAAAACCCACAGAACATTTTTGAAGTAACAGACAAAAATAAGTTGTTATTTAC